TAGATATATATAACACTCACGTGTTTTTTCTTCTTTTTTTTTCTTCCTAGTTTTGTGTATTAGCACACACCAATTTGGCTTTATAGGAATAGATGTTCTTGCACACACTGTGGGGACATTAAGGGTTTGCTTGATTTGTAACTCTCTGTTTTCAGATAATTATGAAAAATAGTGAAATCAAACCTTTTTATAACTGAGTTTTTAAAAAATAGTTTTATCTTTTCTAATTTTCAATAAAAAATAGTTTTATCTTTTCTGATTTTCAGTTAAATTAATAATATTCCTAATACATATATGAGGTTGCAAATCAACAAGACCCTGTATATCTCTTTTATTTTACTTTTTATTTTTTTCCTCGCAAAATACAACACTACATAAAAGGACTACATATGTTATCCCTTGCCATCGCAAGGCCATATGTGGTCATGACAACATACAAAAACCCATCAGAAATAAACACATTATCCCACTACACAACATGATAAGGAGGGTTCTTCATACTGCAGTCCAATTTGTACGGGACAGTTTGATATACAATGAGCAAATTTAAGCTAAGAGTTAGGACCACATTAACATTAACATTAATTCCATGTTGCATCCCAATAAGCATTGTTTCTCCTCCACAGGGATGGCAACGGAGCGAATTTGTGTAAACTCATTCCCGCCCCGCGAACCGTGACGGGTTGAATTTCCATAGTCCATCCCTGCCCCGTTATGAAATATTTATCCCCGTGCTCTACCCGCCCCCTCCCGTTAACTTCTTCTTTTTTTTTTTTTTTTTTTTTTTACTTAATTCATGTCCAGATCATTTTCAGACTTCATGTATTGGAAAATAAAAAATTTCCTCATCATTATATGGCAAATCTTTTGATTTTTTGTTTTTAAGGAATCACTTACCCAAATTGCAAGATAAGGATCATTATATACCAAATAATCACTTAACCAAAATTGGAAGTATGATAAAACCTGTATATACTAAAACGTACAGCAGCAAATGACAAAAAATAAAAAATAAACCCTTCACCCATTCTAGATTTTAGATCTGTCGTCGGCCTCTAGCAGTGGTGGTAGATCGTAGCCTCAATCGTGAGTTGGGATCGTTTACACAGAGGAAATAGAAGGGGGAATGAGATAGAAAAATTAAGATTGCAAACTTCTCTCTCTAACCTCCAATGGGGTGGTAGATCACAACCTCAATCTGTATTTGATTGCAAGATTAAATCACTCGCCCAAAATGATTTAGTTGTAGGCGAGTTTGGTTATGGAGGATATGAGAGGTTAGAGAGAAGAGTTTTGTTTGGCCTTTGACTACTGAGGTGAATGAGTGAGGTGGCATGAGTAGGTGTTATTAACTTTAGGGTTTCAAGTGTATAAGTTATATATATATATTATAAAAAAGGATGGTATGTAAGGCAAGGCGGGGTGAATATGAATCAGAACCCGTCCTCGCCCCGTGACCTGCGGCGAATACAAAAATGTATCCATGCTTGCCCCGACGGTATGAAATTTGTTCTCATATCCCGTTATTGACAGGGCGGGATGAGGCAGAGCCCCGGCTGGGCAATAAAAATTGCCACCCCTAGTCCTCCACGCACAATTGACCAAGTCATTATGGCCTTTGACATTTGGACAGTTAGCTTGACAATAAACAAGTTTAGGTTCAGCGTTGGATCCACGTTAACATCAAGCCCATGTTGCAGCCCACTAAGTTTTAATTGGCTTCCAAGCACAATTGACCACATGATTATGGATATTGGACAAGTGGTCCAAAATTTGACACCGCACAGTACGCCTCAATGCTCGAGAACAAGATGGGATCACCGGAGCCCAAGATGGAAAAAATAACGAGTTCACCGGCAATACAATAGCATCGAATTTGCTGATGTCCATAACAAACCTCTACTAAGTACTGAAAACATAAGAATATCCATTCTCCGAAAGCTTGGCGACCTTAGGAAGGATTCTTGTAACACCCATCCATGGTCTAAACTCCAAGGAGGCACATGATCATCACTGCCAAGTCGGTAACCTGACTTGGAAACCCAGAGAGAGGAAACCCTCGGATGGAAAGAGAAAGAGGAAGGCCAGAATAGATAGTAGGAAACAAAAAAACTTAGCAATACCCGGATCAAAAGGAAATAGCGGTAAAGAGGAACCTAATAATATTTTCGATGATAAAAACAGAATAAAGACACAAGTCCCAGTAGAAATTCAGTACCAGTGGAACCATATTGGTAAAACAAATTCAGCTCCTATTTGTAAACCGATGACAATAATAGCAAGTAAATAGGTTCCGAAATAGAGTCACACAAAGAACAGTTAGTCCGCCTTCCGAAACCCAAAAAACTGTTGTAAACCTGAACAAGAGGAACTCATGGAGCCCAAAACAAAGAAATTGGGACCGAAAAAGGATTGGATAATAAACAAGAAGTCCCAATTTAATAGATTAGGCCGTATACAAACGTGGATATAGCAATCCCGATGAAATAAGCATAAGCCTACAGAGAAACAATTTACATGCACCGAAGGCTTACCCACCTTAGGAAGAAATCCTGTAACACCCATCCATGGTCCAAATTCCATGGCGACAGAAGTAGGCACATCACTGTCGATCGGTGACCTGCCATGGGAATCCACATAGAGGACACACTTGGACGAAGAGAAAAAATGGAAGACAAGCATATAGAGTAGGAAACAAAACACCACAGATAGAAATTTAGCACAAAAAAGGTAACCAAGAAAACTATAGTAATACCAGGATAAAAGAAAAATAGCGCTACTATCTCACCGTAGAGTAAGTATGGAAGCCAACCCATATAGAAACCTTTTGGCAGTGGTTCAAAATTCCAAGCCCAGACCGGGCGCGCGTATGGTAAATGGCTTGGACCTAAGCTTGCTTAGGTCCTCCCCTTCTTAAAAACTTAGGTGCCTTTAGGCCAAACACAAATTCCAAACTTGGGCTATATAAACTCCAATTTGTTTCACTTTATTTTCAATGTGGGATAACCACTTCCTACATTTTGCATACACATTTAAACTTATCAAACACCTTATTTTGGAGCTTATTTCTCATTCACCCAGAAACGGATTTGAGAAAGTAAATATACCACGTTCATTTCCTTACGAAGAGGAACACGTTCGTCTATAGATCCTCAAGAAATTCTTAGCAGGACATATTTAAAATTTCACCCAAAGTTTATGTTTTGTATGTTCCGTTTTCAACAATCCCCCACATGAATGGAAATTGGCGTCAATTGCAAATGATGAAAATGCAGACACTATAGCGAGTACTATTAGAAAGTTACTGCATCATGATAGGCAGCTTTTGGCCTTGAACCTTCCTTAGTGTACTACTATCGGATTTACTGGCTAACTAGTGAATATGATGCCTTGAACTGTTCAGCCGTTGATGTAAACCAAGACAATAGCAAACACATAATTCCTTCCCGCAAAAAGGTCGGTTGTTGTATTCATATGGCCCTAAACAACTCCTGGTATTTCATGAGTGCTCTAGAAAATTTAGCCTTCAAAGTTCTCATAGAGCAGCCCCACTTTACACTTATATATGTGACCTTTTATTAAGAGTATTCTACCATACCCTACTTGAATTTTCAAGATATAAGAGTCATTAAAAGTGTAGTTTATCCTAATCATCTCTGTAGATAGCACTATCTTATCATAGAAATGGGTAGAAGATTAAATCTTCTCAATACTTCTGGTGAGTCATTCAGAATTTCCGTTGTCCATTTGAACCTAGATTTTGGGATCTCCAGTTGGGTTTCTATTAAAATGACTCGTTAGCTTTTGACTTTAATCCCATTCCCCTCGATGAACTATACACTTGCTCTCTTGTCAAACTTTTTGTAAATGAATCTGTTAAATTGTCTTTAGACTTGATATAATCTATTGAGATTATCCCACTTAAGAGCAACTGTTTAACGGTATTACGTCTTCGACGTATACGTCGAGACTTACCGTTATACATATTACTTTGTGCCCTTTCAATTGTTGATTGATTATCACAATGTATAAATATAACGGGCACAGGTTTAGGCCAATTTAAAATATCTTCTAAAGAAATTACAAAGCCACTCAGCTTATTCACTAGCTTTATCCAAAGCATACCGGATGTGGTAATACAAGTTTGTTTTGAAGATTTCTAAGATATGGTACATCCTCCAATAGTAAAGACATAGCCATTTGTAGATTTAGAATCATTTGTATCTGATATCTAATTAGCATCACTGTATCCTTCAAGTATTCTGGATTCAGAATCCTTTGTATCTAACATCCATATCTTAAGAGAACCTCAATGCAGCGAGGAACAAAAAAACTCTGATGAACAGAAAACACCAAACAAGAATTATTCAATCTTGAAAGCAGTTAGAAGGAAACGGTGGATGGTCAGAGGAGAATTTTGTGTTTCTCTCCCAAGAAGTTAGAGAGAGAAAGAGGAAGCGCGGCCCATCCTTCCGTGAGGTAACAAGAATTAGGAAACCTTGCCGGACTTTAATAAATTTTTCAATATTTAAACAAGGAAAATGATTTAGAGTCATGTAATTATTCTACCAATATACACTGCTGAAGCCCACATCCCTATCTGTCCTACTATCTAACTCTCTTTCAACGCTCTTCAAATAATTGCATACATGGTATATTTAGACACTTGCATGTTGGAAAGATAAATTTTAATAGGTACGCATAGAGTTGGGAAATAAAAAATGCCTATAATTTTATTAATTTATATTTTATACCGCCAAAGATGTAAAACAATATTCTTTGAAAATATAGCAACTTAAATTTCAACTGCCTCCTTCAGTTTCACTGTTTTATTGGGTTAAACTCATCCAACCTATCCATTACTCCTTGAGGTAAATGCTTAAAGACTCTCTGCTATAGTAGAAATATCATGTTGTCCAAAAAAAATACTACAATCACCAATTTATTTAGAACAAATTAGAAGTACACAAATTACAAGGGCAACTTCTACAAGTTTCATATTGTTAAAAAGATGGTGAACAGGAATCAGCTTTCAGTTAGAAAATTTGCACAGGAAAGAATCAAACAAATTCTTCAGTTAAATTACAAGACCCTTTAATGGCATTGATCAACTCTCACAAAAATAATGCAGAGGAATTCCACCCCAGAATAAATGGCCTATTACAATAAAGACCCTCCAAAGAAAAAACTATCTACACAAAGTTGAAGAGAACAGAAAGAATGGTATTGCTGCACTTTGGCCGTGAATAACCCTTTTCCCACTCTATTTTCCTATAACAACACTGCAACCATATTGACAACAGATGACCCAGTGCCCCCAAGTTTACTAGGGCATAAACACTTTATCAACGGATACTCATGTGGCATCCAAAACTGCAATAAAGTGAAGAAACAAATGGAGGCAAGCGATGGAGATTGGGCATATACATCCTATTGCTCTGAATGCCCAAAGGTCAAATTCACAGGAGTTCCTTGTCATAAAATGTGAGAAGTTGCTTCACATGATTATGCCAAGCAGCCACATTTTGCCCATCAACTGCAACCCAGTCAACAACAGTTGATGCAGGCTGTTCCCACCATTCATCAAGCTGCAGAAGGGTACAATGATATAAACAGTTGAATAGAACATAAAAGAATGAAATAATAGAAACAATAAATGAACTACATCACCATAAATTGAATGGAGAAGTTCGACAATGGAGGGCGGGTTAAGAAATAAACCACAAAATTGAGGTTGAAATATGTACTTTGTTAATACCAATTGCTCCCAAATTGTCACTATTATCAGTTTCTCTAGCATGTTAAGGATATAGAGAGTATGGGACACAGCAATGCACCAACAATTTAGGTCCAACCATCGGCACTATGTGTACAGTGTACTTAAGAATGTGCTATAGTCATTGCGTCTGTGTAAAAAGCGCTATAGTCATTGCGTCTGTGTAAAAAGCATAAAGAATATTCTTCACCAATCAAGTCAAAATTTATCAGGCTATAACTATGAATGATCTCTTGGGTGGTGAGGAGAGTAAGGTTCAGAAAATGTCATCTTCTTTTACAGTTCTTTACAGCTTCATATCCCTTGCTTAGAAGTTTTAATCTAACCCATGAAGTCATCAATATTTCTCTTACACCTTGTGATCCACTCCATAATTGCCAGACAAAGAAAATTGCCTAGATCTGCCATTGATAAGCATCATTTTCTTTTGGCTTGTATGCCCTTTATCCAATGGCTTTCAAACATCGCGTGTCATTGTCTGAAATTATTTATTTGGTTCACTGAGCATCTATATCAGAAGCCACAAATATAAACTACATGTAACCAATAGTTTTTTGATCACATTTACTGAAAAAAACAATTATCTGACCACAACAAGAAGCACTCCACCCCAAACAACAGGAAGCCTCATGAATTAAAAACTTCATAGAACTAATAGTAATAAGAATGCCACAATAAAGTACAACTCCAGAAGTTAAACATCAGTGTTTTTACTTTCAACCCCCAATTCCAAAATAGGAAGAGAGAGAGAGAGAGAAGGAAAAAGCAGCCAGACCAGACAAATTTGTGTGTAAAAGTGAAAGCGAGCCAACTAAAATTAGAAGCTCAAGCTTTGCGCAACAGGTAAAAATGCTTAAAGACCAATAATTCTGAAATAAATATATATCATAGGAGGTACTTACCCCACTCCGACCCCTAAAGTAGGTCAGAGCTGGCATAAGCACACACTTTATCATATAAGCTTTAGTGAATGGTAATTACTTACCAAACCCCTGACATATTTGCAATCTTCCAGGCATTTTTGAGCATTCAGAACAGCACTCTTAAGTTCAGGTAACCATTTCTCTATGACAGTTTTCTCTTGCTCAGCAGCTAAGCTCAGACAGTAATTTGTTGTCCTGGTGATGATAAAAATGAGCATCAAGAAAGTAACACATGCCAGCTCTAAAAGTTAAAAAATAAACTAAAAAATAAAAAGGGAATAAAAAAAAAATTGGTGTGTGATTGTGTTTCTGCTTGTCTGTGCACGTGTAGTGTGGGGTTAATGTGGAGGGGAGAAAAAAAGAGAGACTAAGGTTGCAAATGAACCAAGCAGCTCATGCTTGTTTATTAAGTAAACAAGCTAAGCTTGAGTCCTTTGTCAAAAAGCTGAGTTCAAATAACTCTGAGTCACCTAGGCTCGTTTACAGGACTTTTTAGTTAGGGTTCATCAGGACTTGTAACTTCAGCTGTACCTTTCATATTCGTGTTGTGCACGGTAAGCATGATTTAACAATACATGACCACTTTCAACAAGATCCCTTCTTATATGGACCAAACCAATTGCCTTTGCCAAATCCTCCAACACACAAGCCTCAGAACCACGAAGCTTCAAACAAAATTCAAGGGACTCTAACACTGACGCTAAACCAGCATCTGAACCTTCCAAACCTAATAATAAATTGCGATTCAGTTGATATAAGCATGAGAGCAGATAAGTGAATACTGCATCAAGTAGGCTCAAAGCATTTCAAAATTTATCAAGCAAACGATTAGAGAAACTCCTAACAAGCCGGGTCACACAAACTTTTTCTTTCTAGCAACAGAATTTCATAGAAATCTAAGTCTAGTTTTCTTCTTTGCTTTCTATTATATTTTGCAAACTGATTACAAGTAAAAGTATATTGAGGTAGGAATAGAGGACAGGAACATTAGGAGACATTTAAGAAAGTTTTCAGATTCATATTCAGTCATGCAAAATTAGAGACATTTGATCTTTATCCTATATTTTCAAAACAACCCCTAATATTATATTGTTTCTAGAGACAGTTCTCAATATTGGATGCAATACACTTTTGCACACGGGTTGTACACTTTTGCACACGGGTTTCACTGACTGTAAGGTTGATGTCTGTGATTGCACTGGCCACGTGGAAGTAAACCCTCAGGATAGCTTAACGGGTCAGGTGGTCAGGCAACCCCACTTGATCCTGCCTTCACTTGGACAGGTACAAGGTATCAAGATTTGAGGTAGGAGCAGGTATGGCTGAATCATATAGCATTTGGGAAGTAAATAGACTTTAACAAGCTCAGTCCATCCAACTGCAAAAATTGTATTATTTTTTACTTAGGTCTGACCTGTATGAGTCATGACCTCACACAAATAGAAATGAGCAAGGGGTTTCCACTGCAGTCTTCTAGTAAGAGCCAACCCCTGATAATATGTATAAAGGCATCCACTTATTCAGAGATGCAGACTCCTATTTTCAGCCCAAATATACGTTATAATTTTGTGGTCTTTTAGGCACTTGACATTGATATGATTACACTTCTAAAGGCCCATGCTCTCACCCCACCTCAATCAGGCATGTGATGAGTTTGACGAAAATTTCCTTATTGATGGGTCAGGGGGCAATCCCATCCCAAATTTCCATCCCTAGGTAGCAGACTAGCAGTGCATACATTAGCCCCATAGGTCCATACTTACCATTTATTGAAATATATATGTGAATAGAAACCACAAGATTTATATAGTTCGTAGATGGTATAAATTTGTCAAATGGTGAGGACACCGCTATATTAAGACATGTGATATCCGTCTCCGCTAACATCAGCTTAGGAATAAAAAGGCTTCTAAATACATTAAACCAAGAGGCAAGAACTATTAAGGTGTACTTCTATAAAGAGAAAAAAGAATCACCAGCAGGATATTGAAGGGCAGCAGAAATGCGGCATATGGAAGGAATAGCGGATGGGTCTCTGGCACCAGCTCTTGCAGTCAACAGAGCAGCACTTTTTTCTGCAGCAGCAACCGATTCAGGTCCTGTAGATCCGTTAGCACCCATGGACTCCAAGAGAGCCTGATTGAAAATCAAAGGACATATAAGTGCACTAGAGAATTGCAAATATGAACTGCATTTATGTAACCAAACCATTATATGGTCTGCCACATGCAATCCACTTGTCGCCACCATAAAAATAATATAAATAAATATATTAACGCTATTTTAATGATATTAAGATGAAGACAGAACTGTCCAGAAAGCAGCAAAGGAAAACCATCTAGTTGGGCCACAAAACAAGAAATGACTTAATTACTACAAAGGGCAAACTAAGAATGACACTAATATCCTTCTAACCAAACCATTATACGGTCTGCCACATGCAATCCACTTGTCGCCATCATAAAAATAATACAAATAAATATATTAATGCTATTTTAATGATATTAAGATGAAGACAGCACTGTCCAGAAAGGAGCACAAAGGAAAACCATCTAGTTGGGCAACAGAACAAGAAATGACTTAATTACTACAAAGGGTAAACTAAGAATGACACTAATATCCTTCTTTGCACATATCAAATGAAGCCACAGCCCTCAACTGATGATCAAGCTTGCAGAAAAAATCTTTCCCAAGCTATAACCAATCAGATCTCCATAATTTATGGCCATTTATTTCAACCAAAAAAAAGAAAGTCAGCAAAATAGCATCTTCACAAGACAGTAATTGCCACATACTATATGCAGTTATCATATAGAGGCTAGTTGGGCCACATACTATATGCTACATAAAACTGTACTCTTCAGTTTTACAGACCTGTGGGGTTGACGGAAGCATGTAGAGGCTATTGTCAGGACTTCGGTAGAAGGCTGACACTTCTTCATCATTAAGATCTTTTGCATTATTTGATATGTCCACAACAACTGTGCATGCTGGAATTATGGTGCTTGATGCATATTCCCTTGCAGATAATGGCTGTTGATTCCAGAATGTAGCAGCATCCTACGAGGTGAATGAAATCAACATAAGAATTCATTACCTATACAGGTATACTTTTGGGGGAGGAATCTTCTAGTCTATTTGTTTGTTTTTGTATGTAGTTCTCTAAAATGTTGCCAGTTGGAATTGCTACAGAAATTTTGATCAGAAAAAGACAACTGAAACAATATAGTGAGAAATAACTGAAATCATAGAACAAGAAATACTACGGAGTAAGGAAAATGCACATGGCACATGAAGCCACTATAGCTTCCACGACTTTGAGAAAAACACCACGTCAAAGAGGTTTTATTACTTCTAAAGATAAAGCACTTATAAATAGAAGATATGCTGCTTAATTTTTTTTTTTTAATTGCTAAATATAAAGAAAACTATGAGAAATCCCAAGCATCGATGCTAAGTAAAGGTAACATAGCCTCACCACACATATCCATTGTCAATAAAGATTATCCAACACATTCTCATCATGGTCAATTTTGATATAACCCAAGTCACATGGGACGGGAGAGTGAGAGCGTAGAAGTCTAAAATTAGGTAAGAGCGGAAGCTTATCAAGAGCATTCGTATATTACAATATATCATTTGTCCTATATGATATATTAAATTAATTATTAATATTTCATTATTATGGGACCGTATATGTAAATAAACATGCAACCGTATTATAAGAGGTTAAATAAATAACTGAGTATAAAATTGCATAAATATCATGTGATGTGATGGTAGCTTCCGTTCATTATTATAAGTGAATAAATTTCAATCCTTCCATCTCACACTTTCACGTAATATAAAATGAGTTAAAGCATCCCCACGAATACAGGGGCAGAGTCGGAACAAACACTGGACATATAAAATGCAAAGCAGGCTCCAGCTAACCCAACTTGAGCAATATCCAATACTAGCGCAAACCTCAAATAACATCCAGTGAGCTCAATCCGTGCCCAATCTGCAAACTCAAAAATTGAGAGCATGGATTTGTGGACGATCTGCTCCCAAAGCACAGAATCGAGCCTACGAAGTGATAAGAGTGCCCACTAGTTTGTGTAAATTGTGTGACTAAGGATGTAACTACATGTACACCAAGCTACAGGGTATTCCTCTAAGGCAAAATGAGTACTTCCATAGATAATACTCAAGTACTCCATAGATAATATCCAAGTAATTATATATATATATATATATATATATATATATATATATATATATATATTTTTTTTTTCTCTTTTTTCACTATTGAACAGAGAACAAACTTGCAACCTCAATGTTCAGAATGTAAACCATCAAGTAAGAGAGACGGAAACTGAGAGGAATGAAAAGGGCATCCCTAAGGAAAGAAAATTACCTTATTCTTTTGGTTAAGTTGAACGGGAAGGAAAGGTCAAAGGATGAAAACGGATGTTAGTTTTAAATTTTGTTACCATTAGGCCCTTTAATATATATATTTCTTTTTTTGATAGAGTAATATTTCATAAAAGAGAGCTCAAAGGGGAGCATAGCCCAAATAATAGCCTTTAATATGTAAGCAAGGGTGTCATCTGAAAGGGAAAAGGAAAACATTAAAAAGAGGCACCTTCTTTTCCTTCTGCCTTTAGCCCACTTTTGAGCCAAAACACTATGATGGGCCTAGAGGAGAAGTGATTCCCTCTTTTCTTCCTTCATCTTTCTTTCCTTCCTACCAAATGACTGAAACTCTATCCGTCCCTCCCCTTTTCCTTACTCCACATGTTCCTTCCTACCAAGCAGACCAGAAGAGAATAAAAGAAATGAGGACATTTAAGGTTTAAGTTTCAAGATCACGGAAATTCTTGACGCATGCTAGTGGTCAAATAGGGAAAGGAATGGAAGTGGGAAAAGAAATACCAAGAGTGACCAGTGAAACCAGTCACATACTACATATAAATAGCCTTCCAGAAATCTATACAATAGGTACTCATAAATCCATGTTACATTTTTCATGTTACAATTAGGTATACTTTTTATGAGAAGCTCATAAAAGTTGGCCTGAACCAAAGGCTTTCCTCTGTAACCAGGTTGTCACCAGTTTGGTAAACAGATTGGATTCAGGGTAAGAGCAGGTTGGGTATGGCCAACAAATTAACTTAATTATATTTATATTTTTCCATTGCTTATAGCCTTATATATTAGTAAGCTTCAACTAATCTGGGTTGAGCAGTTCAAAGTTCAAACCAAAACCCAACCCAGTTCTAGCTCTAATAACAGCCTTACATTAACTGGTCCAACTGAACAAACTTATTAGACGAATAAATGGAATGGGATATTCTTTTCTCTTACTGGTCAGATATCAGTCAATCACAGCTAATTCTTTAGATATTTGTATTCAATTAGACAGGATTAACAGTTACTGTTTGGGCTTATTTTACATCAACCAAGGGATACAGTAGACTCATAAGAATGTAATTTGTTGGCATAGTAATTTCATTTTTAATTCAATGCATGAATATTTGATGCATAACCACTACTAAGAACAGTTTCACAGTAGATAATTAATGAAGAGCTATAATACCATGTTAGCCCTAAGTAAAGCAGTATATATTGATTCGAGTTCAGATCTGCGAGCGTCAAACTCTTCAATCTTTTTCCACTTCTTTCTCAAAGAATCCTCAGCTTCCTTCCTTTCTGCACATAACTTATTCAACCGTTGTACTTCAGACATCAATGTATTCAAGCTAGCCCGCAGGCCAGTAGCTTCTCTTTCCTTGGCCCAAACCTCCAACTGCACAAATAATATGAGAATTGCTAAGAAACACACACTTGCAGGTCCGCTTTAAACAGATGCAAGCCAGTCATGAAATTTTAAAAAGATAATAAAATAAAATAAATAAATAAATAACTATAATAAAAAATTTACGACCATGTATATAATTCACAAATAAGCAACCAACAAAAATCTTCTTTTAACTGAAAGGTAATGATTATTTTGAATGGTTAATGGCAGTAAAGAAGATGTCCATGTGAAGATTCCTTTATTACAATGGGGACAAATTCACTCTTTTAAGTGTTCAAATACAATGTCACTAGAAATTTCAAAACATAATTCATTAACAAGTACGGAATATCCAAATACAGATGAGAGTATAAATAAGGGCACCAATGACTAAACATCATATCCAAGTAATGTTTTATACTATCACCGGTAATTAAAACTTAACAGAGCCTATTTACCCCTTAATAAAGTTACCAATTACCAGTATATTATTACCTCAAGCTGCCTGATACTACTCATATTCTGTGATGCGCCTCCAACAAGTGAGTGTGAAGAAGCTACATCGCCACCTCCATGCAGCCGTTTTATAAGCTTTTGACACATATTTCTAGCTTCTGAAGCTTTGTTGAGTGCATCTTCAGTAGCCACAAATTGTTCAACATGTGCTTTCTGTAAGCAAGAAGATATATTAGATATATGAACAAAACCCTAACACAAAAAAAGTGAACTGCAACAATAACAGATAAACAATCATAAAAGTAACAGAATCCTGATCAATATAGTTACTAAAATTGGGGATGAAGATGCCTCCTATGATGTGAAAAATTACATGTGCAAGCAGAATTTAATAAGTAGCAAAAAAGATTAAACCCGACTCGCAAAGTTAAAAGAAGAACAGATAACATGAAGGCTACCCAGTAGAAAAGAAGACCTGTCTTTCAAGAAGTTGATTTTGAGATCCCCTTGAAGGTACATCATTTCCAATCTTTCCACCGCCATAAAGCTGATACTGCAATGGTGAGCTCGCGTCAGGAGAAGCATCCATCACTCTGTCATTCTCATACTTGTACCTGATTAAGAAGAAATAAATTAATTAGTCCGACAGAAGCTACTCATGGCAAGAATGAGACTAGACCAAAACACATACATTTAGAAGTAACAGCAGACCCCATCTCTTGTTCTAGAAAGACACAATCTTGGAATCAACAAAATGCATCACCTAAGGATAAATATTCAACTATATGATACTTCGGACTGATACAGGAAAATATGGTACTTGATAATGACAATTGACAAGATAAACAAGCTTTTAGGATATAAAGACGAGAAAATTTGAATCTATAGCAAAAGATAATCTTAAATATGTTCAACTATACAATACTTGGACTGATACAGGAAAATATCGTACTTGGTGCTGACAAGATAAACAAGCATTTAGGATATAAAGACAAGTAAATTTGAATCTAACAAGAAAATCCAAGGTTCTCACTTGCAAATACGCAAGCATAATTGAATGATGACTATGATCTATTCTAATAACATGAGATAGATGTCAGTTTGTCACATGGATAGTGGGCTCCTGATGCAACAGCATGAGAAACCCACAAGGTGACTTGCTGACACATGTCGACATAAAGACACAGTCAATTAGACACTTTGATATATAGATTCGAATGAACTACATGTTTTAGTTAATAAATTCATCTCAAATAATTCAAGAAATCTAGTGTCCTGTATGATAAAAATACAATCCCCAAATTTTGACTTGCCGAAATAACAGGATGTGTGGTCCTTGACCTTCTTTAGCCAGCATATACTTCATGACTTTACCACTTCATTCATCACTTGAGAAAAAAGAAAAAGGAGCACAAGAAAGCACCAAAATATTATTAATATATAGAATGCACACTAGCAATCAGGATCCATTCCCAAAGTATTGGTACTGATGCAAATTGAGCAAGTAATATCGATACTCAATAAGTTGAAAGCACATTCAAATATTATTAGGAGGTCTTAACCAAGCATGTTTATTCATCTGAATGAAACCATAGGTTAGGTATATGGGTGTGGAACTCCAAATAATAGCAAAAATACATTGATTCTATATTTGACCACAAAGCCTTATCCCCCACAGTTGGGGTAAGCAACAAAAACTCTGGGTCATTCAGAAAAGGGAAAAAATATTTTACAATCATTGATCCAGCACAGAAATGAGCAAATTAAAAAGAAAAGGCCCCACAAATCTTAATTTTACACAAGCAATATTAACAATGAATGTAGAGTAAGGTGAACAACCACCGAATCAATAGAAAGGGCTCCAAGGATCTCAATTTCCATGTAGAATTATTTGAAAGCCTTATTCAGACACCCATAATCATCTAAAATAAGTGGAGTTGTTACCCCCCAAAAAAATGGAACTATGAATATACCTTAAGGTTTCAGCATCAGCTCTAACATCAATTTTTTCTATTTCTCTAGCAATCAGAGTTTTTAACCGATGAGTGTAGGCAGTGATTGCGAGAAGCAACTGAGGAGGACTCTTCAGGCAGTTGACAATTACATCTCTAACCTCATCAGCTATGTCTCCATCATAATCAAAACCCAATTTTGCGGCTTCTAACTGAGAATTCAAATGGATTCCACTTCCTTCGTAAGCCGGGAACGAGTTGCGGATCTTTTCAATCATATGTCCTGCAAGAGATTCACATGCCTTGCGGATATTTCTTTCTCTAGTTGTTTCTATAAGAATGAAATCATCTGCAGATTTAGTGCCTTTAACGGTTGAATAAACAGCCTCTTTCTCACTGTTTGCACCAAAACTGTTAGCTACTTCAATAGAAGAGTCAACACTTGACCTCTGAGCATCCCTTGCTTGATTAACATAGTAATGAAGACGCTTATGATACTCTGCAAATATTTTTGCTGCTTCATCACACTGTTGATCGTAAGCCTCCAACATCACCTGTTTGTGCCTGCATCACGCATAAGAACATTGTCCACTCAACATTACAAAAACTCCCATACAAGTCTGTTATTTCAGTTTTTTCAAACCAATAATCCACCAAATGACCCTTTTTTCACCAAAAAAAGGAAATTTAAAAAATTTCAAATCCCATAAAATTAATTGCTTAATGCTGTAATTCAGTCATGTAATTGTTTGCTTCTAATTATCTAAAAGTTAAGTTCAGAAACACTTGAATAGCAGGAGTAGTAGTAAGTTCTGAGCTACCATGCGTTAGCATATATAAAAGTCGAAGTAGCATTACCATAACTATGTACTAAACAATCTGCTCAAACCTCACTGATCAACCATTCTTAGTATACAGAAGTAAAGTAAAATTAATTATGGTTCAATTTAACTACACTTATTATTATTATTATTATTATTATTTTGTTAAGTTAATCAATTTAACTATCTGACAATCTAATTGTTAGATATCTAAAACTAAGTTCCAAAGGCACTACGGTCGAGTATATGGCAATGCCGTCCACAGCACAGTGATAAGGATACTCGAGATATGCCAGATTCAATTCCTTTAATCAGACCTTCATCACTTACTCATATAGCATCAACATACTTCACCATTGCATTATCCTCTCTTCGCAACTAATGTTTGTTCTAACTGGAAATAAAGTTTCTGGGTAACATTCTAATAACAAGACAGTGGCAACTACTTTACTTCATCTAAACATTTAAATTATATGAAGCAATAGGTCATGACATTTCACACAATTCAGGTGCAGTTTTCATAAATCGTGAAGGGAAAAACAAAAATAAAAGTATACTGAATTTTTTTTAAGGGCCAACCTGTAATTTGATCTCTCATCCAGCATCCGCTTACGCTCTGCCTCCTCCCGTGAAACCTCCAACATGCGGGCCTTCAATTCCTTCCGTTGCCTCCTCACTATATGCCTCAACTTCTCCACCTCCTTCTCTGCCAAATTTCTTTCTTGTAAACCAATCTCTCTACTACTCTCCATTGAATTTGAACTGGAACTCTCCCCTCCCACCCCCCGTTTTTCCTTCCTCCTTCCTCTAATCCTTCCCATCTCACCGTCTTTCACAGGATCAACATTGCCGCTGCCACCCTCATCACCGCCGTGAACGAGTATGTTCCGCCGGATATTGTCCACCGTCTTCTCCGATCTCACTCTCTGCAACAAGAAGTTCCACACCGGGATCATGTTTCCACGACAAATCCTGCGAAGTGAGTCCGTGGACGGCATCGAAGCCTTGTTGGACGCAACGTACGGACCTAACGGGCGATACCCCATCTCCTTCTGTAGCCAATCCAGTATGGCCTCGGGTTGGGCCATCGAGCTCGTTGAGCTCTGCATTCTGTAGAAAAACCCAAATGTCTTGAAATTTGAATAAATATAAACTAGGTCATCGTTGTATCCAATTATAAACCCTAACTCGCAGATCCGAACGTCAATAAAACATGTATATATATAGAACAATGACGAATGCGGTTCTAAATCCCTGAAATTTTGTACAGAAATATCTGCCGATGTCTACAAAAAGTGTTGGGCGTTTTCGCCGGCGAAGGAAGGAGATCGATGATTATAAAAAATGTGAATGGTGTATATAACTATATATATCTTTAAGTAAGTTGTACAGTGGAGTAATTGATAAACTATACAAAATGATATTAGGACAACAAAGTTTCAAGTTTGACCCAAGGACTCGAATTATATGTGAATTTTTTAAAATAAATAGGTCCCGCCATCATGTTAATCTTATAGGTTTAGCAGCAGCAAGCAAACGCTCAAATCTCATTATCACCAGATTTTTTTTTTTCTTTACCCCAAATAAGTTTAATTAATCTATTGTACCAATGGTTATTAGTGTAATGATATTCCCTAAACCAAATAAATAAATAAAATCTATTATTTGTAAATGATTAGGTAAGGAAATATTACGTGTACCAAAGGGTTTTATTTTAGATGATTTTGGGAGTGCAAAAGTCTGTTTTTAGATTTTCTGCCCTTGAAGTCGTGTTTTATGTAGAATAACTTTTTAAAATTAAAATTGACAACAGACATTGAAATATGTCACTTAAGTGATATAGACATCTGTGATATAAAAATAATAAATAAATATTGAAAATAAAAAACAGCCACACATATATGAGATTGGGACACATTTAATTTTTTTTTTTTTTTTCCACACATTGTATTATGCTGGGAACAATCTCCTTACAGGTCATATCCATTCGGTGAAAATAAATTGATTGTACACCAGATGATGACTATCTAAAAAAATCTTTTTTCTTTCTTTTAAAGTTTTGCTTCAATTGAGTAACACCTAACAATGACTATCAGTAAAAGCTTCTTCGAAGCTAATTCAGAAAACTCTCTCATAACATTTTTGAGCGGGGAATATTGAAAACAAATTATTATTTATTTATTCGTTTATTTGTTTGGGTTCCATTTTAGTTCATTGTTTTTGTGAGGACCACGCAAAATCAATCTAAAAAAAGTCCTCTAGTAATATGAAACCTCATAAAAAAAATATATAAAAATACAAAATAAAGTAAGAAATATAAAAAAAAATGATAAATGATTTTTCTTTTTGGTGATATGAATCTTAATCACTGACACAGCGATACACTAATGATATGTGGACCACGTAATAATTTCTCATAAAACTCAGTTTCAGAAGAAAAAAAAAAATGTACTTTGACCTTTTATAAATGTGCTTCTTTCTATGTATATTGTTTTTTTGATAAAATTAAAAATTAAGTGCTGAAAATTTTAAAAGTTTAAGATTTTAAGTGGTAATTATTTATTTTTTTAATTTTAATTTTATTTTTAGCATTCAACATCCAGAGATAAGAAATATCAATGTCACTTAAAATTTTATTTTATTTTAAGTGATAATCAAATTTCATTTTTGAACGCAGATAAATGGTTAATTCACTTATAATTAAGTACTGAATTGAGTTATCAAATTACACATTTTATGTTGTGTTTGATAAATTTTAAAATTTTGTGCTAAAACTCTTAAAAGCTAAATTTTATGTATTGAAGTTTTAAAGTGGTAATTAGAAATTAAGTATTTTTTTATAAATTTTTTAATTTTCAACATTCGGTAATACGTGATACTTACCGTTTTCAGTAATATTTAATTATTTATATTACATTATAAAACACACTTTTAACTTAGAGGATTTGGTCTGCTCCATGAAATGATATATAATAGGGCAAATTGCAAAAAACCATTAATGACTTGTAGCCATTAGCAATAAGCTCTCCTTTTGAATTTTGTTGGCACGAAACCACCTCAACTAACATAAGGGGGTGCTCGACTATTTTTTTAGACAAAAATACCATTTATTTATTCATCCACTGTGCACCTATTCTCATTCCTTTTAGCCTTCCATTTTTCACAAATCATCTTTGTCACCTTTCTAATAATTGCTAATGGGAGCTACTAGTCACGATGAGTTAGCCAATTATTTTATAAAAAATAATTCTTATACTTTTTAAATTTCAACAAATACATTTGTATGTCATTATATCAATTAAATAATTTTTAAGGATTTCACCTGCCTACAATGTGGGGTCACTGTAGCACAAAAAAGTAATTAATTATTTGCAAACCAGGGTTAACAGTTCAAAAGACCGACAAGAAATAAGCAAAAGAATAAAAAGGTCCAAAATAAAAAATAAATCAATGGACTAGTACAATAATAAAGTGAATTAAAGACTCAAAATATATATATATATATATATATATATATATATATATATATATAATGAATCACAAAGAGTTAATTATACCTATTAATCTAAAGTAGTATATGTTCGCCCTTCCAAAGAGACGTATTTTTTAAACAAATGGATGTTTGTAATGAAAACTTTTGCACATTAAATGATAAAAAAGTATCAACAAAGGCAATGGTTAATTAAAAAATATACATACTCCAACTTTTATGGCCGGATGCAACGTCACGTAAATATAAATATTTGAACAAATCATAAAGATGATTTGTATAAATATGCATGACATGTTTCACATTGTTAATAAAATATATATTAATATAGATATATTTATTAGGAAAAAACATTAATATATATAGTTGAACCAATTATATGATCTCCATTCATCAACGGTTTAATTTACAATTAGCTCACTGTAAACAGGCAAGGGGTTTTTTTGATTAAAAAATAGTTGAGTATCCCCCCTCAGCCCTTTAATTTACAATTAGCTCACTGTAAACAGGCAAGGGGTTTTTTTGATTAAAAAATAGTTGAGTATCCCCCCTCAGCCCTCTGGGTCGTGCAAAAAAAAAAAAAAAAAAAATCAAAAGAAGGGTTTATTGCAAATAGTTACAAGTCTTTATTATTATTATTATTTTTTATTTTTTTTACAATTTGCCCTATATTATATCTGAAACATGAAAGAATGTATTAAATAAAAATATATTATAGCTGAAACATAGAAGAATGGAGGAATTCAATTCGGGTAACTACTCATTGTTAAAATGATAAAATCTGAACTTAATTGTTGTTTTTTAGTGATCAAATTAATGTTTCTAGTTTAGAAATGTGTATTATGGAATGATTTAGAAATTATAGTACTTTGGAATTGTATTACTCACAATTGGAATTTGTATAAGTCAGATTCTCAAACTCTTAACCAAAGTCTAATATACTAATATATCCAAGTTTCCAATTTGGCGGATGATCAGTTTGGTAATTTACTTTTTTTATTTGTATGGTGCAAAACATGGATAAAAAGACAAAAACAATTTATCATTGTTCATTTATTTTACATGTCATTTTCTAATTTATTTATTTATTTATTTGAGACCGTTTTATGTAATTTAACTTATTAATATAATAAATAATAACTACTCCTCCCGTACTAAATTATTACCATTAAACTTAGGCCATAATTAGCGACCCCGATTGTCCATATTAAATTCCTTAACATAACTTTTGTCCTGTTTACCTAACACGCCTGTTCTATAATAATATTATATATACGCGACATTTATAATAATGTTTGCATAAAGTTGAGATTATATTATTCCATCATACCATCAACCACCAGAAGGGGTCGCTTTAATTCCGCTCTTTCATTGGTTTTCTCGCCGAAGAATCCAACACGCCGTCTCATTATAGAATCCGTAGCATCTGACTTCGGGATTTCTAGGTTTCTTGTCTACCTTTCACGATTCAAAAATCATTCTCTCCGTCTTATTTCTCTGTACATATTTTCTCACTCTCAAGGTACTAACCCTTTTCCCTCTTTTCCCAATTACACAGTTTTTTTTTGTCTCCCAATCTCTCACTCATCGTCACGGCTTGATTCTTTGTCTTTTTTTAGTCATTTGAATGTTGATCGGTGTAAAATTCAATAATTGGAATTGGGTCTCTTTAATCTTACTCATCAAAATAATATTTTAGGGCAGATTCTTTTATTGGGATGTAGGTTTCATTTTAATTTCAATTTTGAGTTATCTGCAATGGGTTTGGTTGAACCTTTCGTGAAATGTTTGTCTGCAGAGCTATAATAATTGTTACTGGATGAATTATCCCATTCTAGTCATTACATATATTGTGTCATTCCTTAACGTTGTAGAGAATAGAAATTATTAATTTTGGATAGACCACGAAAAATTACTCAATTCCTAAACAATTTTGTATTTTTTTTTTATAACCGGTGATTATTATCTGATGTCATGTATCTTGCTGGTTGATAATACATCTATATATATGTTTTCCGAAAGTTCAAGCAAACACACACACACCTACAATATTGCCCCTAGCGGGCTGAATTGCAGTGAATGAACCTTAATTAGCCAAAATAAATGTTCTTTTCCGCTTTCAAATAGTCGTGATGTGGTGAATGTTTGATTCATATGATGTAGGATGAGCTTTGAATTGATTTCACTATTAGTGGATAGTTTCAATATCCAGAATATTGATATAGTTTTTACAGTTGAAGCTTAAACGTTAATTAAGTTACTTTAGGACGGCATTGTTGGCTATTTCTCTTGTCTCCTGTTCTCAAATTGGTATCTTATTTTTTCAGGTGAAAAATTTATATTGGTTCTATTTTTTGAGGTCCAGTATAAAAAGGTTATTTGGCATTTGTCTCTAGAAGAGAGAGGGTACTGGTTCGCGGATTTACTGCAGCTGCGAGCTCAGCGTCCTCTCTCACCTCCCCTCTCTATCTTCATGTTCTTATTACTACATGAGATGCTCTGTTGATATATATACCTTCAGCGTTTGAGCTTATTGGTGAGATTGGAGAAGGTAGAGGGATTGAGTGAGCAAATAGTTTGGAGCTGGCATCATGGGGGCTGTTTGTTGCTGTTTGAGTGAGGACTGTGAAGATTATGTTAATCCAAATAGTTCCATTTACAGGAACTGTATATGTCTCAGTTGCTTTGTTCAGAACTTCTTACATGTGGTATGCTCTATAGCTCTTGTATTTTTGCTTTCCCTCTCGTGTTTCATTTTATTTTCTGTGAGTGTGACTTGGTTGAATTAAGTGTTTCAAGCATTTGTACCCTTTTGGTCACACTTGTGTGTTTAAACATACTGTTTTTGGTTTCAACAGTAGGAGTTTATGGTTTTCTCAGACCTCATTCCTCTGCAAAACTAGAGGGAAAAAGTGTTGTTTCTGGAAATATTATATGATGAAGATTACACTTGATTATAATGCTACTTGGATGCCATACACACTAGATTTTTAGAGATGTTGGTAATTGATACATGTATTACCTGTTGTAGTTGTGATTGGTAATGTGGGGAAATTTTTAGTAGTCCACTTTTACATCCATTGAAAAAGGTGCCGTGCAATTATACTATGTATTGGCAAGATAAATAGGAAGAGAGTGACAGTACTGCTTTGAACTTCAGCAATTTCAGACATTGAGTGGAGGTTTTGATGGACTTCGTGCATTAATGAGTGATACCAAAGAAGTGAATAGAGTGGTCCATGGCAGTAGTTTCTCTACCCCTCTCTCTCTGTCTGTCTGTTCCATTTTTATTAGCAGAAATAATATGATTCCATTCCACTATTTTCTCATTATTCTGCTAGATTTCCTTCAAATTCTTTTCCTGTAATACTTATCTCACTTCTCTAAATATTTTGGAAGATAGCACTTCACAAACAATTTACTTGAATCTCATATGCAGGTGTGGCATTAGTTATATTTGCCAAAATGACTTGCATGCTTGGTTATGGAAGTCCATATATGAGTAGTTGCAAGAAATGAACATCGGCCTACTTCTTGTTACTCATAATAGGAATGGCCATCACCATGTTATAACTTGAATTTATAGGCCAAACATATTTAAGGCTTAGTTTATAATGTTAAAATTGCAGCACAGGGCAGCTTTTATTTTGAACTAGCTGTATTATTTTGAAAATTCTTGCATTGTGCCTAGTGTCTTGTCCTTACACACAAAGTAGTCTCAATTCTGGAGAAAGTAGGAGGGTTGTGCTAGGTAACCGACATTTAACATAAAACCTTGTCACATGAAAGTTATCAATACATATTATGTAGTTCTTGCTAAACTATACCTTGTATCAACTTTTTAGTATTTAAAGAATGGTTAAGGAGTGCTCCGCGTGTTTGGATGAGGTGAAGAGTGTACAAAGGTTCCCTTGATAGTCTGACGAGATTGCATAAAGGAACTAGTTCATGGTACTTAGCTTATATTTGTGGTTGGACTATTAGAGTTGGTAGACGCTGTGATTAAAATGAACATTAATATAACATGTCTACAAGATGCTAAGTGGATAGAAGAGGAGTTAAGAAAATTAGAGTTATGGGATATAAAACTCTATTACACTGGAAGGACAGACATATAAATATCACAGGGTAATAGTTGATAAAGAATTTTAAAAAGTAGAAGTTGTAACTGTTATTAGAGAAAAGGGATTGGATGCAACAACCACCAAGCATTGTCCCAATTACTTGGGATCGGCTACATGAATCCCTCTGGTCCACTCTATATAAGGCCATATCCTCAATCATCATGTATTCATAGGATTATTGTTCATCACAAAGTTTTACGCCAGCTGTCAAGCTACTTGACGCAACCCCCCTACTTTATCCGGGCTTGGGGCTGGCTGTGTAAGGAATACTAGCGGAGTTAGAAAAATGACTAGATAATATTTATAAAACTTGTATTGCAAAAAAATTCAGTTAAAATAATTATCACTTATGCATTGAAGGAAGATTAGGCGAACGCATTAAAGTACAATTTTGAATTGGAAGAAAAGATTATGGAGGGTATGAGATGGTGCATGGTGGACATGGATTTGAGGATATGAATGAATCTGGGGAGGTTATCATAGGCTTTTAGTGACAAACAATTTATTGTAGCAAATACATATTTTGAAAAGAGTGTAGTAGTTAATAATCATTAAAGATGAATCAAACATTAATCAGATTGATCTTTTAATAAGTAGAAGATTCAACTGACACTTTTAGTCCTTTGCAAGGAGTATAAGGTTATTTGGGGAGAGATATTAACGCTGCAACATTAGTTGACAATTTTTTTTATGCATATCTTAAAGGAAAATAAAGAAAAAGAAGAGATTAGAAGTCTAATTACCAACTACCAAGTAGTGGAATTTAAAAGAGAACATTAGTCAGATTGATCTTTTAATAAGTAGAAGAGTACTTATAAAAAAAAAATTAAGTAGAAGAGTAAACTGATTCCTTTAGTCCTTTGCAAAGAGCATAAGGTTATTTGAGGAGTGTTATTAACATTGCAACATAAGTTGACAATTTTTGAAAGGAAGATTAAGAAAGAGAGAAGAGATTAGAAATCTATTTACCAAGTAGTGGAACTTAAAAGACAAGAAAGTATAATTATTAAATAATAAGGTGATGAAAGAAAAATGTAAAACTTAAAAGTCAAAACAGATGTAGTGTGGAATAGGATCGCTGAATGTATTAATTGAACATCAAATAAGTTTCTTGTAAAATGGAAAGGAAAAGGTCCAATGTTGAAAGAAATTTAGTGGTGAGCTAAAGATGTCCAAACCATAGTAAGAACAAAAAGAGTGATAAAACTTGGATTTAGAAAGTTTGAGAAGTGTAATTATCCAAAGAAGGAAGTCAATGGAGTAGTAAGAGATGCTACTTATATATATAGTATAAGGCATACATTTTAAATTAGATATGAGAAGAACGTATACAAACTTGTTTATTTAAGGACGGGACCGCCATAGGTTTGTAATAATATTACGTGTTTTAAGAGTGGAGACCTAAGAATCGGTGAAAGATGATGAAATTAGAAAAAGGTGAAAAAGATGCCTTGAGATTTTATTGAAGTAAAATAATTTGGAAGAATATGGAATCCTTGGCTAGGATTCAAACGTGAGTAAAGAGATGCATGTAAAGAGTCTGGGAGTAGATGACATTGGCGTCGAAGTTTTTAGGGATGTTGTATCTTGGTCAACAAGAATGTTTAACAAGATCATAACAATAAAAAAATTCCTGATGAGTGGTACCTGTATCTAAAATTAGTGGGGTATTCAGAGTTGTATCACATTATTAAATTAATGAGTCATAGAACAAAACTTTAGGATTGATCAGAAGGCTAGGACTTGAAACGATAATATTAGGAAATCGATTTGGATTTATAGGGAAGTAGACAATGGAAAGTTATTTATCACTGAGGATGCTATTTGGAAGATGTACAGAGAAGAAGACAAGTCTGCATATGGTTTTCACTTTTCACAGGTTTGAGGGAAAAAAAAAATAACATGGTCCCTAGTGGGTTTTACTGTTTTAGAAAAGAAAGAAGTCAAAGATAGATATATTTATATATTTTTTTGATAAGTAACTAAGTATTAAAAAGCGTTCAAAAGGGGAAATTATGATGAAGTAATGAAAAGAAATGCAGAAGAAATAAGTTATTTATGGTTATTTTAGCCTTACATAAGGTATATGTCTCTGCCCTTTTGTCTCGGTTTTTTTGATTGAATAGAAGAAACACATTTAGGATAATATTCATGTAGAAACAATATTTATGTAGCCATACCCAAATAGTTGAGATGAGACTATGTTGAGTTGGTATTATTTTGATGGCAAATACAATTTGCAAGTGACGGGTACCTTATCATTGTTAGAAAGTATTATAATTGAAGTGATTGGAAATTGATTTTATTATTCAGTTTGTTGAGATAAATACCTTCTCCTTTTCTTTGGCGTAGTATACATCATTATTTCGGAGTGGGGAATCACATGCCAACCTTACATCCATTCAGGGAACAACATCTTTGACTTCTCCGTCATCACTTGATGATTCTCTATCTGACATGTACCGTTCTCCACCAAGGCCTTTACCTTATGATGCTGATCCTACTAGATATATCCGTTTACAACGGGATGGACTGGTTTCAAGACGTGAGAAGGGATCAAGTCATTTACATGAAGAATCTGAACCACTGAGAAGAAGTGATAATGATGCTGATTCAGAATCTTTAAGTACAGGAAATAAATGGAACGAGTCTACATGTGAAGAAGGATTAAAAGAATACAATTCTAAGGCATCAGTGAAGCTTTCGTCAGCAAAAATGGCAACTGGATATGCACATATAAATTCTTCTTCAGAAGATGAAGATGTCTGCCCAACATGTCTTGAAGGTAAAATATTATGTCTCAAATTTTGAATTCAGATGATCCACAATTAAGATATATATATATATATATATATATATATATATATATATATATATATATATATATATTGCTTACCTAGTGGCACTCTTTCTCAGATGTAAGTGATTTATTTTGAAATAAAGGAAAAGAGAGGAGATTTCTTTCTTTCTTTCTTTTTCCTTGTCAAGAACAGAAGAAAAAACAAAGAGGTCCTCATCTTTATTTTTATAAATCCTGTACAAGGTAAATAGGCAATTTTTTTCAGATTTGTTCAAGGAGGGTAAGGTTCAGTTAGTATACATTGATGCTTCAATAATTATTCATCCCTCTTACCTAGTAATTGTGTCCTTCCTTATTGTGGGGCCAAATATGGGAAACAAAAATTATGGTCATTACTAAGCATGAATGATGAAGGTCGCTACCTTCGTCTGGGGCAAGGACTTCCAAACCTATCTGGAAGCTTAAACCACTATCTTGTGATGGTCTGATGCTTTTGATATTAATAGATGAATGCTGTTGTGATATATATCTTATAGTTCAGGATTTATAAAATATTATGCTTATGCCTTTTTATGTCCCTTTTAAATGCAGAATATACTTCAGAAAACCCTAAGATAATTACCAAATGCTCTCACCACTTCCACCTTGGTTGCATATACGAGTGGATGGAAAGAAGTGAAAATTGTCCAGTTTGTGGCAAGGTAACACTTTCCCCTTTATTTCCCCCCCTTTTTGGATTAGGCTTCCTTCTTTAGGTCTGTGAGTTTTGTTAATCTGAATTTTGGGATTAATCTATTGATTGACATGCTTGGTTGATATTATGATATACTTTTTCACCTTCCCTTTCTGCAAGTTCTTCTCTATGGCTTAATGTGTCCACAGTTATGGATTATTATTGTACCTCTTAATTTTGTGCATGTCCCTTTCTTGGACATTCATTCATACTTGTTGGTAGTTCCATATAATGGAAATTACCACATTCTAATCAACATATTTTTTATATTAAAAAAAAGAGAGAACATCTCATTGGAGTGTTCTTCACTATGTTCAGTAATGCCAGTTTTGTTTTATAAAATGTCATTAAGTATGCTTAATAGGGTAATCGATACTTTTGGTAGTATCCATGTTGCATGATCAAGCCATTGCTGTACTTTAGTCTTCTGATTTTCACTTCCCCTGTAATTTACATTTGAAGTTAGTAATTTGTTTACTTGTATCTTTCTGGCCAAATAGAGGTTGAATTGGAAAGTGAAGGTTGGTAACCCACTCTAGTTTGCCAATTATCAGTGCTGGCAAATTTACTGATTTGCAACAGTAATGCATTTGCTAAACAAGTGTTTAGAAGCCACAAGAAAATTGATCATTCTATTTACTTTTAGCACTTAAATTATTTCATCTTTTTGTCATGTTCATCTAAAACAATTCTAGTATTTTTATTTTTATTTTTAATTAACCTCATATGTAATAAATTATTTTATTGGAAAACCTGGTCACTCTTTGATGCTTATAAGTAAAAATTGGCGTTTATACCTTATCCAATTGTCATTGGAGCCTAGATTTCTAAAGAAAATATGAGAGAAACCTTAGAATGATCAAATATCTGTTGAAATACTGACATACATTGGAGAAAACTTGTTAGAAGAGTGTGTGGGTGCTATCACTTCTATAAATTTTGTTTTTTTGGGATAAGTTCACTTCTATAAAATGAAAGCTAACGACCCTGAATCTTCCTTAAGCTGACCTTTAAAGTTCCCAAACAACATTAATGACACCTTTTAGTGTTTCCACACAACATTAGTGATACCCTTAACTGTTTCTCACACAAGATTAATACTTTTTACTTTCCTAAGTTATCACTATCATTTTGTGACCTTGATTGTTACTTTTGCAGAAACAAGGCTAATTCTTTGACCCTTCATTTAATATCACTACACTTTTACCAAGGATCTCAAACATATGCGCATCAACTCGTCCTCCTTGGGGAAAACTTGTCCCGTGCGTTATTGTTGACCTGTAGTTATTTTTTATTGTAGGATGCTAAGGTGTTGAGACAAGTCGATCTAATAAGTAATTCTTCAATCTTCTTGATGATGCATTGGGATTCAATCTTCCTTTGCTCAGTTTGGAATTAGAGCCAATTAGAAATCTCTAATTGCATAGGTATACCATCATCATTTCTCCTCCTTGAAAGCTTTTGGCATTGCCTTTCTTGTTTGCTTTCTCCTTTAAGACACTTGGATATACCTTTTCTACCTCTCTTTTGGACTTGGGAAAATCTTCATCTTTTTATTGGGCCTAGTACCAATTCAACTCTATCCTTATTATACAAGGGCATATATGTTTCTTCTCTAAGGTGGGTAGGCTTGTTACTGAGCTGCCGTGGTCTACCATGCAGTAAATGACAAGCTCCCATTTTCACCACATCACACAAACTTTATCTGAATAAATTTTCCCATAAAAGAGCAATGAGAAATTGCTATTAGAGATTGCCTTTTTGTCTTCATCTCTTTTATTGAACCAGATGGTCTTGGATACTGCTGCACTTGAAGGTTCATGTAATATCACCATTTATTGATATACTTATTTCTCAAATTTGCCTTCATCAAAGACTTGCCGTCTACGAGATAAGCACATTTTTCTAAAGATGATATTATGATTTCAATCACCTTCCGGTGCTTTTGGTTTCATCAACTAACAAGGTTTGGAAAATCCTCATCTCCAAGTGTGATTTCATCTTCTGCAAAGCCCACCAGTGCTTCATCATCATTTGCCTTTATCAAAAAGCCTTTTGTTTTGTTCATCCCATCTTCTACTTTATTAATAAAAAAATTGCTGGTTGCCTCTCGACAATCATACGATCTGTGACATTCTTTATTACATTTGTAGCATATTATTTCGTTGTTCACAAACTGGAAAAGTGTGCGCCAGTAACAGTATCCGCTTCTAAGACATACTCGGCCTTGACCACGACCATGGACTTTAGGTTCTCTATTAGTTTTCTTCATTACACAGGTGCTGCTTCAGGTCTGTTAATATTTCCTGGACCTTGTTTAACATCCAACTTTAGCTCTCCTATTCTAAAGTAATTTGAATGTTTGCAAGGTCAACTTTTTTGGGCTTAAAAATTAGATAGCACTAACATTTAGCAAAGCTACACTTCTACCAAGTTTCTTATATTTTGCCTAGTCTCATCAAATAACGATCCATTCAATTAATTGTAGTGGAGTTCTCATTTTGTAGAAATCATTACAGCAGATTGAGATCCTTGTTAAAGGGACTGATATTGTTTCAAGACTTCCTCGTGTTCTGCCAGTAAAGTCTGGAATTTCCATGCCAGTACATGCACTCAATTGAAAATTAGCTGCTTTATGCAGGATTAAATTCCACATTCTTCATTGAAGGCTTTACTAAAGGCTGCTGATGTTAGTGGATTCTTTGTACATCAGGCTAGTTTCTTGAATTTTACGTTGACATACATTTATTCACTTCCCCTCTGTCTCTCAATTGTCAGATTAGGATGAGAAATGGTTCTGGATTGCTGTAACATATAGTGCACAGCTGACTCCTTTGCTGTTGCAGCTATCCAGATCCTCTATTCAACACAAGTACTTCACCTATTTCGAAACAATAACGCGAAGAAAGGGACATAATAAGAGAGATTTTGTGATGATTATAAAATAGATTTGAATATTTGATATGCTTGTTAGGTGCCATTCCAATCAAATGTGCCAGACACATATGCCATATTTATGTCGCTGTGTTATGTGTTCGACAAGGGCTACTTTCACGCCCATGTAGCATAGAATTCACAGCAATCATGCATTTGAGAAGGGGCTGTAGTACTACTTGATACAAAGAAAGTGGAGATATCCACTTACAGTAGTACGTAATTAATGAGTGCCATTGCACCAATCACTGCTTGAGCCTATATTTTTAAATGGAAATATGGAAAAAGCCTTGGAAGAACCAAATTACTGATGAGATACTGAACTACTGGAGAGAACTTGTCACAGCATATCAAGGATGCCGTCTCTTCATTGAGATTATGAATGACCCCTGATCTTCTCTAAACAGACTTTAGAGTTCTCACGTGACGTTAGTGCACAGCATATCAAGGATGCCGTCCCTTCATAGAGATCATGAATGACCCCTGATCTTCTCTAAACGGACTTTAGAGTTCTCACGTGACGTTAGTGACACACTTTAGTGTTCTCATTGAACATAAACGTCACTCTTTAGTGTTCTCTTACAACATTAATACCTTTTAGTGTTTTCAAACAACTTAGCATTTCCAAATCTTAATTGCTACTTTTGCATAAATAAGATGAACTTGATGGAATTATCAACCTTAACGTCAGAGGTCAGTGGTGAAGAAATGTTGCTTAACATCACAAATTCAGTAGAGTTAACTTGGTATATTAGCAAAACTGGCACCTGAAACTTTAGTCTTGTTGCTTGACATGGGTAAGCAGAAGGAAACATTGATTCACCTCTTCTGAAAATACTTCTGATATTCTTGCTGTGGGGTTAGTACTATTGATGCGGTGATCGGTGCTTTAGTTGAAGCTACAGTAAGTGGGATTTTTGTGTGTCCCCTGTACAACCCCCCCACCCAACAATATAAAAAATATATATATATATATATATATATATATATATATATATATATATATATATCCCACCCACCCATAAGATGTGTGTCCCACCCACCCATACGATGTGTGTCCCGAACGTATTACGTATGCTGCCTTAGATTAAATAGGGAAAAAGGTTATCTAGAGCACAACTGACTTAGAAATGGAATATTTATTCTGTTTTCTCCATGATGCTTTACTGCGATGGTTCTCATGTAATCATTGTAATTGCTTATGATATAGTTCATTTACTTTGTGAGATAAGGTTTTAAATAGAAAATAGGGTCATCGATAATTTCCACAATTCCCCCCTCCCTCCCCTTTGAATTTTCCTTTTTATTTAACTTAGTTGCATCTTCAATAGAAAACCTCAATTTAGTATAGCATCAAAATTTTGAGATTAAAACTACAGCTGGGGATTCCAGATACACACATACAGAGTGTAACTGTAATAATCTTCCATGCTTATGTGGTTTTCTATATAGAAGCCATGAGAAAATGGGCTTATCCACCTATCTTAGTATTATTTTAGGATTTACCAAGTTATAGTACTTTTCTACTGGAAACTCTAGCCCATGGGGAACATGTTTTTCTGGAAGATTATTTTGAAAACCAATGGTAAACTTCTTCAAGATTAGAGCTTTCTATTTGCTGACAATCTTTTCAAGTACCTGACTCTTTTTGACCTTCTGTGCCTTTTGTTGAATTTAAAAATGGTCACAGCATACTTTCTTTATTAAATAAATTTAAGATTCATAACAAGCAGCTAGGATAATTTGAGCCTTACAAAAACCCAATCGCTAACTATGACATACCTCAAATTCAACAAAAGCCAAAAGCCGTTTGTATTCCTGATGAGAGAAGTCAAAAATTCCAGTGCCCAATTTGACGTATCACCTTTTTTTTTTTTTTTTTGACAAGTAAGATTTCATTAAAAGACGCTTAGAAAGTAAGATTTTATTGACTTATCACCTTTTTGAAGAAAATGTGCTGCATTAGTGCCCAAAATTTTCTGGATTGGGGTGTTTGCAGGTCGATTTGGAACTTTACGAGTCAGTCTGACATGATTACATAGTTAAAAATGGATGAATGGATTGGCTTATGTAAAGTTCAGTGTGAATATTTGTTGGTTGGTTTCATTGTGTGTCGGCATCTCATATTTGTTGGATTCGGGCAGAGCAGTTTTTTTGTATTGACAAAAAGGAAAGGAAAAAGAGCTGAACAATGCAGTTTTTAAATTTCACATGCTTTCCTTGGGAGAAAATATCCAAAGTTTCGATAAAAAAGAAAATCCCATTCTTCACTTGCTGTTTATGGTATCTGTTATTGTAACATATTTTTGAGAGAAAGGAAAGAAACGATATAAAAGTGGAAACATAACATATAAGTTGGACATTTCAGCAAAAACATATTTTGAGTTGGGGCTCGGCTTCTTTTCGGCCAACCCATGTCAGGTATTGATCTGCCTAGCTGAAACCCGCCCCTTCTCCATTTCGTCCCTCACCAAACCCATTCCAATAATGATGCATTGGGTGCTTACCTGAAAATGTCGGCTGATTGCCTTCCCCAAGGAATATGTGATGCAATCTGATCTTTAATTAAAAGGAACTAAATATGCTTTCAAGTTTTCTCACTTTGTGCTTCTTGAGATTATTCATATTGGCATGACCCTGCATTAGTTATGTTGTTGCCTCTAGTTTAGGTTTTTATCTCTGTGAATTCTTAAAGCAAACATGCAAGTTAGTAGTTCATTGCTTGATTTTCTTGATGACTCCTCAAGTTGTAAACAGTATAAAATGTCTTTGTTCATAATAGGGAAAGAGAATAGCACTTGGTTGTATTGAAAATGGAAGGAGGGAGAATAATTTTTAAATCTTGTATTCCAATCCAACCTCAACTAGTTACAAAATCCCATTTTGTTTCCATCAACTCCTTGGCAACCAAATAGAACTTAATTGTTTGTAAACTGGTATCTGGCAAAATATGGTTCGAGATGGGTATGTGCGTGCGCATGGAATATGGACAAAATGGTAAGTATCTCTTATATGAATGTATGCATAATTCTGAACATGCTTTTGTTTTGCTGGCTTTTGTAGGTGATGGTATTCGATGAGACGACTTGATCTTCCGTCGTGGATGAAGCCAGCAACAAACAGGAAAGGAGAAAGGAAAACAGAGAGAAAAAAAGAAGCAAGTCTGTGAATATTTCAACTTAAAGCGTTTGTCATATAATTAAATGCAAAAAAGTGTGCAGTATAACCTTGTTGCACGGTATCTTGTGTATATGTTTTCTTTTTTCTTCTTTCTAGCATTTCCACTAGGGAAAAAAAAAAAAAAAAAAATTACCTGGGTACTGCACCCTTTACACTGTAATGATGAAAAGTTCTGAAACCGAGGAAATATAGGCTTCACACATGGTGCAGTTCTCTGAAACCAAAAGGGAAAGATAGACTTCACACCTGGTGAAGTGTTTGATGTTAACTAAGGTCTTCAACTCTTCGTGAACCAGTGGATCATCTTGTTAGGTCCGGGCTACGAACGGTTGTGACTGATCAAAGCATTTTGCATTGTGTGTATAGAACTGAGTCTTTTCCGGAGGGTGTATCCTGAAATTTCATAAATTTAGCTCTGATTGGCGATTTATGTCATTACTCTGCATGTTTGTTCATATATTGTAAGTGAGAGCAGATGATGTATTGTCTTAATGAAGGGCTACATGTGATATTATCTCACAGCTATGGAATGATGAACATGATTAATTGAAGAGGAATATAAAACCCAGACACAAATCTGCATATCTTGGAATATAAAATGTAAAAATTGTCTCAGATCCGGAACATAATTTTAGAAGGCAAAGATCATGTGGTAGATGAGACGAATGTAAATATGAAAACTGGAGCTGAATATTTTGGACACAAAAGCCTTTTCTTTTCTTAATTCCGGAACAAATGCTCAGATTGGCCTGCAAAATATCCAAAAGTATTCTTCTTTCATCCGTCGCGAACCTGAAGTTAAATATGGATATTTTTATGGTATATGGTAGGCAGGTTGTGTCAGAGTGATTCGTTGTAGGGGTGCACCTTAGGTTGAGCAGTCCGAGCTCAGTCCGATTTTTTGTGGGCTTGGGCAATTATTTTTACAATTAGAATTGCACTTGGGTTGAAAAATTGCAATCCAAATTTAATTAGGATTGGACTTGGATTGAAATGTTAGCAACCCGAGCTAACCTCCGAATTCTAATACTATTTATATATATATATATATATATATATATATATATATATTTACTTTTAAATACATTATATATAATATTTAAACTATGATTATCTTTTTTCTTTTCAACTTTCTTTGTTAAATTTTAATTTATTTATGTTAATATTTAGGGGAATTAATTATCTAAGATTTTTCTTTGTAATTTATTAAAAATATACAAAAAGTCTTTAAATTTTTTCTTCTTTAAGAGTAATTTAATTTAAAACTAATTCAAAATAATATTAAAATTTCGGTTTGAAGATTAGCCATATGATTTAATTCGAATTAACCCGAAGTTTTAACCTATAATAAAAGCCCAAGTTGTAAACCCGAATTTAAAAGTAGAATGATGAGTTGGGTTCGAGTTGAGTAGTTAAGGTTGATGATAGGATTATGATTGAGTTTGGATTTAGCATTTTATAAGGTGAGTTGGGCTCAAGTTATACCTCAAACTCGCCTGAGTTGAGCTCTAATTCCTTGTGCATCTAAAAATTTCTCCTTATGCCGTAAGTTTCTTATATTTATAGTTAGACATTGAAGGCTAAGGACTAATTAAAATTATTATATTAAAAAGTGTCTGGAAGGAATTTATTATTATTATTATTATTATTATTTTGTTGTGAGTAGGAAAAGGTGTCATCATGAACCTTATCACGGACATTGTATTACAGCCCCCTTTCTTTTTTTTTTTTTTTTTTGTACCCTTTTCTTTTCGGTGTTTTCAATTTTGAATCGGAAGAAATTCTTTTAAAATTTAAATTATTATTTTTTTCAATTTAAATTTTAAGACACTGATTAGATACTTCTAAACTAAACGTAACACTAACATCATTTATTTAATAAATTATATATCATGGACCGTTCACACACACCATATTCCTAATTAAAATTAAAATGGATATCACTAAATTGATATATCCTTTCAATTTTTTCTTATCCTGTCAAGCCATCTCTGTTTGGACTCAACTTGTTTTTTAATATCAAATTTAATAATTAAGTTTGAAATTTTTTGTTTTTGAGATTGGCCTTTCCACTTGAAAAATTCAATAATCCTTTAGATGAAAAAGGTCCCTTATCATGAACCAATTGGTTCGTTTGCAGCCTTACAATGTCAGATCACTGAACTTAAAACATTGATCGAATTTGAGCTATTTAGCTTTAAATGTTATTGCTTCAGAAAAATAAATGAATAAATAAAGGACCACATGCACAGTCCGTCTAAAATAATTTGACTAGTAAGAATGATGAAGCTACACACTTGAAAAAGTACTCGTGTTCGACTTGATGCATAAACTGAAAAAGAGGAATATTAAGGGATGAATTAATGTTGGTATGATGTTCATAAACCATGCACATACAAACAAGAAAGGCTCACTCTCTCTCCCCTCTCTCTCTCTCTCTGTTTATGAAGCATACAAAGCAGCACTGGATTTCCAGTGAATGTATAATATTGTACAATAAATATAGAAAGTAGGTTCTAGTGATGATTTCTTCCACAACATACCATTTAAAATTAACTCGATCAATAGCTGGATAGGTTCTCCTGTAACTTAATGAGTCACATGCCGGATCATCCAAGGTGGCATGAGTGAATTCGAACCACGGCGACCTTGAGTCGGTCCGTCCTCTTCGCTTGTAGCCCCTCCTCTTGCCTGGAAATTGCCGCTGCATAAATTAACACCAATGGTGGTTACTTCAATTTACCAAAAAGTTATAAGCTTTTGAGACATAAGTATTCGTGGTTCTACCCAAAACTTCTTCAATCTAGCTTTGTTTTCCTGTTGATGGTTTCCTACCATTGCTGAGTTTCAGGCATCTAACTGTGTTGCTTCATCTGGGTTAGGCCTCCTGTACTCTTGCTTTTAGTTATTTCCTTTTTGGTTTGGTTCTTGTAATGTTTGGCTCTTTGTTTTGACTTGTGCTTTTGAGTCCTATTAAGCCTCTGACCTGTTTCTTACATCATTGGAATTTGGAGGACGTTGGGGTTATATGCATGGATGGAGGTATGTAATGGTATCGGACTCTTAGAAAATGTTTATGAACCGACTGATACGTCGCGTATCGACTGAGACAACGAATCATACGTATGTGAGAGGGGAGCTGAATCCTACTGCATGACATCACCCTAATACTGGCGATGGAGGCCTATGCCCCACTCACATTCTCTTTGTCGGCTTTAAATTCAGAAAATGTATCTTTTTTTCCTTTTTTCCTGTTTGTGTTCCCCTTTTTTATTTTGGTACAATTGTGTTTTCCGTTTTATACAAAGCAGCTAGATGCTAGACATGTCACCGGTGGGTGTGGGACATTTGGTTCCCTTGGGCCATAGAGCCAGCTGCAACAATTGTTCACCCACCCATTTGCATGCTTGCACATGACTATGTACCTTGTTCAATGCCCAACTAACATCTTATTTGGATATTTTTATTAATATTCAGACCTAATAATTTAGTCGAAGGAGATTTCGACCATATCTAATTCTGCGGTTAGAATTCTCGAAACTATTAGGTATGAGAATCATGATCTTTTTGTGAATGTGTGTGCACATGTGAGAGAGAGAGAGGATACCCAATAGTAAGAGAAGGAAGGGGTAGTGATTGTGGTTGTGGCAACATAAAAGTGGGTGAGTTTTGGTCCAGGCCTTGTTGCTCCCACTGTGCACGCGCAGCCAGTGTCTTCTCATTCTCCTTCAGCTGTTTCCATGATACATATATATATGTTAGAAGATACAAATAAAAGAATTAAAGATAAATGCATTATCCTTTCTTGAATATTAAAAACAAATAACTTATAACTACACACATTAACAAACTAAAATACTAAGATAACATTCACCTTCTTTGATAGCAAGTTGTTTTGCTCCTGCAATGCCTTTTCCTGCCACGTACAAAACTGTTATGTGAGCTGAAAGAAATGACTGTACACACACACACATATTTTCACATCCATTTGTTTTTTTTTTTTTTTTTTTTTTTTTTGTGCTTAATTAATGAGTTTATAATTGTGGATGATAGTAACATAGTATCAAAATAAGTAAGGTTGTCATAGAGTTGAAATCACACGGTCATCCAGAATATTATATATAATTGACAATTTACTGTGCAAAACTTAGTCCAAAGTCATTACCCTTTTCTGCAGCTCTGATATGGATTCGCGCATAAGCTGGTTCTGCATGTACAAATGGTTAAAAAATCTATCAGCTAAAATGTAAACTAATGAAATGAAAAGTGTATCTTGGATAAATTATGATAATAATAATAAAAAAAATCTCTGTGATTTTACGTACCTTTCTTGTTCGTATACGCTTGAGGGCAGTGTCTATCTGCTGCTCCAAACTTTCAAGCTCTCTCAGGCTCATCGGATCAAGATCTTCTCCCACATAGTGCCTGAAAATCTTGATCAAATGAGTTATACATTGTTTGTGTTTTGAACATCGTTTGATCTGAAGATACTTTCCATAAAGAATTTGTATATTTTCTCTTCCATCACCAAGATACAAGTTGTGAATCTTCAAAAAAAGCATGCCGGGGATAAAGCTGTGAGAATTAAGTACCTTATGTTCCTTTGCAGAACTTCATTCTTGGCCATGAGTTTCCGGTATTCCAGAGACCAGCTTACCTGCATTGCATCCAAAAGAGGGCCACAAAGTCCTTAAGAATATTTATAATTAATTATCATTTATCTGCTGTAATAAATCACCTTATGGATAAGAGTTAACTTGTTTAATACATTCCACAACCTACATGGACATTTCAACTAACTGGTTTGTACAAACACACACACACACACACAAATGTCACTTTGTATCCAGTCTGTCCATCCCAACATTCTCCTATCAACAGGGATCACACTGGGTACTGACCACATTAGATAAAAAAAATTGGTTGCAATTGAACATCAATACCAAGCCCAGCAAAAGAACAAAAACAAATGAACACCATATTGTTGCACAGGACAGAAGAATTTGAATGATTTATCACCATAGTCACTACTACATCAAAAGGCGCAGATAAGATTCTCTACGCGCAATTCAAAAGAAGATCTTACGCCCACACTTCTAACTGCTTGATGAACTTGGGATTGCCTAAACTGCTTGCGTATCCCGGGATGTGGGAATCATAGTTCGGTATGGACCATCAAAGAGAATTTGCAAAGTATGGGAAAAATATACAATCAAGAGCCTACCTGTTAAAATATAGCTCAATCTTACTACCTTTGTTCTTCTAAACACATACCCAAATTAAATTACTTCATGACACTCATAAAGTAAATGTATATAGTTGTGCTTTTGGTTTTCATATCCAAACAAGAAAGAAAAATAAACAAAAATAAGCTATAGTTTTTTTATTGCTAACTTCTTGTTAATGATAATAATACAGCAACATTTGAGTCTCTTGAGTGACATAAATTTGAGGAGATACCTGTGAATCAGAGTCAGATGCAATAAGACGTTGCTCTGCATAAGAGTATCTCTCGTATCTTTCCAGAATACTTTCCATACTGTACAAAAGCAAAGGTTAGAATGTCGATCTTCACAAATCTATATATGCATGCATGTCATTTTATTTTGTGTTGAATATGCTGGTGCGCGCGGGAAAAGAATGGTATACCTCTAAATGGATGTACCAAAGATAAAGAGCCTCTAACTTCTCACTAATCATTGATTTATAGTTAAACCATTCTTTTCCATCACATAATAAAAAAGAAATCTTATCTTAATCATTCCATCACACAAAGTAAAAAGAAAAAAAAGAAAGACTAATGATTTGGAGCCGGAAAATTGAACTCAGACTGATTTATGTGAGAAGAGACTGATATCATAATAATGTCATTAATGTTTTTGACGTCATGACAGTATCAGTCTCTACTAAAATAAAATAAAAAAGAACAATGATATACATCATGAATAAATTTCATGATCTGAACCTTGAATGATAGGTGGCTCTCTTTTATAGGCCAAATTTCTTATATATATATATTTATGACATATATGGTAACATGAGTGATTTTAGACTATTTTCTTATAAATAAAATTCTTATCTTTTACAATAGTCTAAATCAGAGTGAATTGTTCTAAATGAAATCCGGTTAAGAAATGGACAAATGAATGATTCAATACAACAACAAAAAAAAAAAATCATAATATCGTTTAATTAAATTTCGTTTTCATAATTAAGTTTAATTTAATGGTTTTTTTCTCTTGTGATAGAATTTGAGTCACAGGGAATGAAATTAAATTTTTTTAATTAACATCACGGAAACGATTAGCGGAGAAGTTTATTGCAAAGACAAAAAATTGATTTTCATCCCCAAAAAATTGATAGCGTGGTTATATATTCATGGAATAATCCTTTGTCTAACTAAAAATCCCTCTTCACAACTAGTCATCTCTATCTCATCTTATACATACATATATGTATCATATTCTTTTCCTCCAAGACACAGAGAGATGCGTTCCTTAAATAAATCTATATCTACCCTTTCTTCAAAGAAGGAATAAAAACTTTCCAAATTAAAAAAAAAATAAAGAGAAAAATATAAATTAAAAAGAAAAAAAGGAAAAACGTGATAAATAGAATGCTTCCAATTTTTCTTGATAAAAATCATGAAAGAACTTTCATGATGCTTATCATTTTTCAATAAAAATTGATACATATTATGAATTCATATTCATGATATGCATCTTGAACAATGTGAAACTTTATTTCTTAGTCACATCTCTTTTCTTTTTCTCTCTCTTTTTATTTTGTTATTTTTTATTTTTCCTTATTTCCCTGATATAGAAATTTCTTACCTCATCACAATCTCTCCTAAATTCAGACTTCAGCAACAAACTTTTCATCCAAATTTAATTGTTTGAAGATGATTATCTCAAAGTAAACAATAAAAATAGATATATGCTACAACCAAATCTGGCTAATGTAGAAGAAAAAAATTAAATGAAATTAAACTTATTAGATTTTTCTATAAAAAAAGTCATTTGATTCGATATAATATGTAGTTCCCTCTGTGTAATGGACATAATCTCCATAGATTGACGTTCAAAGCATTTTGTCAGAAACAACGACCTAAGAATTTTAATGACTTTTTTTTTTTTTGACTTTCATAGCATTTATTTATTTATTAAGAATGCTTAATTAGAAAACAAAATCTTAAATTAGAAAACAAAATCTTAAATTGAAAGCATCCATTTTTTCCAATTGCATATGCGGTCTTTTAATTAGAAAGTAGTCACATCACAACAACATTACTTCCACCTAAGTTCAACATACACATCTTGAATTACATTCATGGTGTCGCAACTCACATAAAATTAGTTGAGTTGTTCAACTGCCGTACTTGCTATCATTACTTAAAAAGAAAATAAATTCTATTTTGTGCTCTTGAAGACGTTAAAGACAGCTTGGGCCAGATCCAACTCACATAACGAAGTATGGGCCTGACAATTGACAAGGGCCCGTTCTTGACGTCCACAAAGCCGACCGGGTGTACTGGACTGATTAAAAAAGGGCTCCGGGAGGATTCAGGCCCATAACTACTAAACCTTGAGGATAGGCCCAGCAACGAAAATTAGTGAAGAAGGCTATAGTGTAATGTAAATGATTTATAAGTAGAAAAGAGAAATGAGGAATGAGGGGAGAAAATTTTTTGGAGTGTAATGAAATTCTGTCAACTTAGAGAGAAAAAATTCACGCATCTTCAATGGCGCCGTCTGTGGGAAACGAAGATGATTGATTGATGATTCACTCAAATTGACTTGATCTAGTAAGCGCTTAAGGACGCGGCCTGATGGTTGAAGGCAGAGTTGAGATCGATAAAATTGAGACCGGAGAAATCGGCGTTTGTTCCACGCAGTTCAGCTTTGGTGCTTGTTTTGGAGAGTTGAGCGGTCAAGAGCCGTTGAAATTGCCGAATTTGGCAAGTTCATTGCCGGAGCAATTCAAATCTGGTTAGTCATACTCAACATTCAGCTGCACTAGAATCCAGATCTAGAGCGTCAGCATTGGCAAAACTCGGATCTGATCAGAAATTTGCGGTTGATGACTTTGCTATAATTCGGAATGATGATCGGAGAAGAGAATTCAAATCCAGTGGAGAATAATCAGCAGATGAAGCTTGACGAACTAATGAACATGATCGAGGCACTAAGAAAAGAAAATGCAGAGTTGAAAGCTGGAATGGAACGTCGAGAGGTTTCGGTTGCGACGCGACCGCCTTCGCCTCTGGGAGGTGAAAGAGGTGTGCGACCTGATGACGCACATCAAGGTGAGTAAGAAAGAGATAACCGCGTCAATCTCCACCGCGAAGAGGTTAGGATGGAGAATATGCCGCCAAACGCTCGTCGAGCCAAGGATCGAGAAGGATCTGTACATCACGATCCTCATCGTGAGCATATCAGGCGGAATGATAATACAGCCCTCAATCCGCATCAGGAAAGGCACAATCGCGAGCAGGATATGGAGTTTGATTGTCACAAGGTTAATTCACCGTGGTTCACGGCGGAAAGGTCGGTCGATCCGCCTTATCGGCCTTTAATGGCCACCTATGATTATAGGAGTTCGGAAAGAAGATCTACAGACCATAGAGTTGTCACAAGGTTTGAAAGAGAGAATGAAGCCCTCTGTTCGGCAGCACGGATGGTTGATTTGCCGTTCACCGATGAGATCCTGAATGCTCCGAGCCCGAGGAAGTTTTCCGTGCCTATTTTTATTCTTTTCGACGGAACGACCGATCCGATTGATCATGTCTATCACATTCAGTTGAAGATGGCACTGAACACAGAGAACGATCCTTTGATGTGCAAGTGTTTTCTTACAAGCTTAGCTGGACCGGCGCTCAATTGGTTTAAGAACCTCCCGAGGGGCTCGGTAGACAGTTTCTGTAGCTTGTGTGATCGATTCATAAGCCAATACTATGGGAATAAACGTCCGACAAAAGATATCTCCAGCTTGTTCACCATGAAACAACATAACGACGAGCATCTCCAAGCTTTCCTTACTAGGTTTAACTTGACCAAGAGCATGGTGATAGAGTGCCATCCTTCCACAGCAGTTCAAGCATTCAAGTTAGCTATGACCCGAGGCACACCGTTCCATACCAGTCTTGTGGTAAACACACCGAAGACAATGGACGAGCTGAATGAGAGGGCCGATGGTTTCATGCGCCTAGAAGAGGAAGAAGCAGCTAACGCTAGGAAGACATCCATCATCTCCACAGAAGAAAAGTCTAAAGTAAAGATACGGTAGAAACAAGTTCCTACGCAACGTCAGACCTCCTGGAAGGTAGAGAAGAGGCCTAGAGAGGATGACCTGATTACTCCACTCAAAGTAACACTCGCAAGGCTGTACCAAGAGAACAAAGATAAGTTTCGCCCTCCCTTACCAATTAAACAACCGCTTGAACAACGGGATCAAACCAAACATTGTGCTTTTCATAGTGATTTTGGTTATCAGACTAATGAATGCAGGAACTTAAGGAGACAAGTGGAGATGTTGATCGCTAGGGGAGAGTTTGCAGGGTATGTTCAAGGATCCGCACAAGAGCAAAGTCGTCCAGCTGAGCAGGTAAAGAGAAATCAAAAATTGAACCCCCATAACGCTCAGCCCGTACGGATTATCAACGCAATCCATGGCCGACCTGAGCAAACCGTAGAATTTGAGGAATTGCTCCGAACACGCCTCCGCCAAGCGCAAATGAAGAGGCGAGTGGGCAGTGTCAACACACTGCATCAATAGAGTTCGGCTATACAGAAACGGTTTAATAGGACGGACCTGATGCCAGTTCAGATTCCGCATGGGGATCCCTTAGTTGTCAGTCTGACAATGGCAGAGTGCTTAGTACGCAAAGTGCTTGTCGATCCGGGTAGTAGTGCGAATATCATGCCTAGAGTCACTTTTGATCGGCTTGAAATTAAGCCGGAAGAGCTCAAGTCTACTGGAAATCCGTTGTTGGGTTTCGATGGCAAACGAGTCGAACCAGTCAGCACAGTGGAATTGGTGGTCCGCGCAGCTGAGAGGGACTTGGTCGAAAGTTTTGTCGTGGTGGAGATCTATCCCTCGTACAATCTGTTGATGGGGAGAGGATGGACCCATAGGGTACAAGGAGTCCCCTCAACCCTACACCAAGTGATGAGGTGCCTGAGCCCAGACATGAGCAAGGTGATTGATATCCATGGGGATCAGGTTGCGGCAAAGGAGTGCTATTCAATGACCCTAAGGGCCGCAGGCAAGGGCAAGGCTCCCATCCAACCAGTTGATGCCCAATAGCAATTACAGGAACCTCCCCTCGGCGTGAGCCGGGAGGAGGAGTCCACGATGCTGACCGAAGAGCCTCTGGATGAAGTCCAAATTGATCAATTGAGGCCAGACCGAACCACAAAAGTAGGGTCGCGACTTTCAGATGAGGAAAAAGCCAGTTAATTGAGTTCCTTTCTTAAAATGCAGACGTGTTCGCTTGGAGCCATTTAGACATACTAGGGATTGACCCTGCTGTCTCTTGTC